TGTGAGACAGGATCTCCAGCAGGCTCTGTGCTAGCACTGAGCCTGAAGCAGGATTCGAACCCACAAACCATGAGATCATGACCTGAGCTGAAATCAAGAGCCGGACGTTTAACTGAGCCACCCAGGTGCCCCAGGCCGGTGGTTTGTAAAACATTTTTTTAACGTTTATATATTTTGGAAATAGGAGGGAGACAGAGCGTGAGCAGGGGATGGGACTAGAGAGAGGGAGACACAGAATCTGAAGCAGGCTCTGGGGTCCAAGCCATCAGCACAGAGCCTGATGTGGGGCTCGAACACATGAATCATGAGACCATGACCTGAGCTGAAGTGGGATGCTTAACTGACCAAGCCACCCAGGCACGCCAGGCCAGTGGTTTTTGATTAGAGATTCACATCGTTTATCTATGGAGTTTTATTAATACACAGGCATTTACAACCTAATCCAAATTTACAGGATCTCTTTCCTTGATATTCTTAATATATTCTTGGTGTCAAAGAAAAGATCAAATCCAGATTTAGTGAGGAGAGATTTATTTGAAGGATTACTACAAGGGCATCAGTAGGGGAGGGACACTTGCAAGGAGGGGTGAGGGACAGCATATGTGACCACTGCAACAGGGAGCACCCCAGGATCTGCATGTGTCACGTGGGTTAGGCAAAAAGAGCTTTTCTTTTATAGAAAAGAATGAGTGTCAGGAAGTGGGGTGAAAGGGTGGCATGAAAGGATAGTAAATCAGAGTGTTTTACCCTGACACAGTCTCTTTTCAGGAGGGTTTGTGTGTTGGCTGAAGGTGGGCCAAAGGTCAGGGGCCTATGGGAAGGAGAGAATCTTAACCAAAGTCCGGTTAAAAAGCATTTTGTTGCCATTGATCAGTGGGGACAAAACAATTCAGCTAATCCTTTATGAGGTAAAGCTCAATGAACACTAAAAAAGATAAACTCAAAGAGACCCACACTGACACATACTAGAAGCAAATCTTCAAAAGACAAAGGACAAAGAGCATTTAAAAAGCAGTAACAGAGAAGCAAATCATCACATACAAGGGGACTCATTAAGATAACAAGCAGATTTTCCATCAAAAACTTTGGAGGCCAGAAGGCAGTGGACCGATATATTCAAAGTGCTAAAAGAAAAATCTGTCAATCAAGGACCTTGTGTGTGGCAACTTGTCCTTCAACAGTGAGGGAGAAATTAAGAAATTTCCAGTTTGGCAACAATTGAAAGGGAGTTTGTAACCACAAGACCTGCCCACCAAGACATGATGAAGGGAGGCCCACCAGTTGAAATCAGAGGACACTAGACAGTAACTCGAAGCCACAAGTAGAAGTAAATATTTCAGTAAAGGTAAATACATAGATACTTATTAAATGCAGTGTTATTGCAACAGTGGTTTGTAACTGTACTTTTGTTTGCTTTCTACACGATTTAAAAAACTAATACATTGAAAGAAAAGCAATTATTAGTATGAAAGCTAATATTACTATAACTTTGGTTTCTAACTCCAAATCTTTTTTTCTAAATAATTTAAGAGACTAATGCACTGAAAAGAATCATTAATTTATGTTTTGGGGCACACAAGATATAAAAATATAATTCTGTGATATCAACAACCAAAAGGGGTAGGGATAGAGCTATAAAGGAAAGAGTTTTTGGTTTGTTATTGAAGTTAAGCTGGTTTAAATTCAAATTAGAGTTATAACTTTAGTATGTTAAGTGAAATCCCCATGGTAACCACAAAGAAAATAGCTATAGAATATACACAAAAGGAATTTAAACACTCACTACCAAAAAATCAACAAAACACAAAAGATGACAGTAATGTAGGAATGAGAAACATAAAAAGCTCTACTGCATATAGAAAACTAATAGTACAATGACAGAAGTTAAGTCCCACCCGTTATCAGTAATTACTTTAAATGTAAATGGACTAAACTCATCAATCAAAAGACAGAGACTGGCAGAATGGATAAAAACATATGATCCAACTATATGTTATCTACAAGAGACTCACTTGAGATCCAAAGTCACAAACAGGTTGAAAGTGGAAGAATGGAAAAAGATATTCCATGCAAATAGTAACCAACAGAGAGCAGGGGTGGCTATATTAATACCAGAGAAAATAGCTTTTAAATCAAAAAAGACAAAAAAGGATATTATATATTGACAAAAGGTTCTGTACAGCAAGATGATATAACAATTACAATCATACATGCACTTAATGACAGACCATCACAATATATAAAGCACAACTGGAGAGCATTGAAGGATGAGATAGACAGTTCTACAGCCATAAAGACTTCAGTACCCCACTCTCAATAATGGGTAGAACAACCACACAGAGATAAGTAAGGAAACAGGGGACTTACTACCATGAACTAGGTCTAACTGACATGTACAGAACACTCAACAAAAGGATACATGTTCTTCTCAAGTACGTGGAACATTTTCCAAGATAGATCATATGTTAGACCATAAATTAAGTCTCAATAGATTTTAAAAAATAGAAATCATAAAAAGTATCTCTATCTACAACAGGATGAAGTTAGAAATCAATAACAGGGGTGCCTGAGTTGCTTAATTGGTTAAGCATCCGACTCTCGATTTTGGCTCAGGTCATGATGACAGGTCATGGGACTGAGCCCCATGTTGGGCTCTGCACTGAATCTCCTGTTTGAGATTCTCTCTCTTTCCCTCTGCCCTTCCCCTGCTCGCTTGTTCTCTCTCTCTAAAAAAAAGATAAAAACCCTCACTAGGGACAATGAATTACCAACAGCCAAGTAGCAAGCTGTAGCCAATCAAATAATTAAAAAAATAAATCAACACAGTTTTAAGCAACCAATGGATCAAAGAAGAAATCATAAGATAAATAAAATACTTAGAGATGAATGAAAATGAAAACAATTAAAAGTAAAAATAGAACTACCATATGATCCAGTAATTCCACTTCTAGATATTTATCCAAGGGAAATAAAATCACTGTCTCAAAAAAAAATCTGCACCCCCGTGTTCACTGCAGCATGATTTACAATATCCGACTCATGGAAACAACTGAGGTGTCTACTGAGAGATGAATGGATAAAGAAAACGTGGGGTGTGTACACACATAGACACACAGGAATATTATTTAGCCATAAAAAAGAAGGACATCTTGCCATTTGTGAGAACATGGATGGACTCTGAAGGCCTTATGCTAACTGAAATAAGCCAGACAGACTTCGAAAGTTACTAAGAGAGTAAGTCTTAAAAGTTTCGGTAAAGAGAACAACAAGAAGCAAGGATGTGGCTTATGAGACAGTAGAGGAAAATGCAGTGGTGTGGCTATTAACTAAACCTCTTGTAATTATTTTGATATTTATGTATCTGAAATGATTATGCTTTACACCCAAAACTAATACAGTGTTACATACCAATTATATCTCCACAAAAAAAGTAAAAGAAAACCTTGCAAAGAAAACAAAACACCTGGCCTCTCTCTCCGACCTCAGGGACTGTGAAAGCCCAGTGGGGATCCCAGGCCTGCATCTCTTCTGGGATGTCACACGAGGCCTGCTAAAACAGAAGACTGAAAAAAGACCTAGAGTTTCATAGAGAATACCCATAATCTCTAGGTTTCAATCAAAACCACTCAACGAACATACCAAGAACCATCAGAATAGTTGGAATGAGAAAAGACAGTGGACAGACTGTTAACACTGCAATGTCACAGATATTAGAATTGTCTAATGAGGCTTGTAAGGCAGTCGTGATAAAAATACTGCAGTGAGCAACTGAAGACACACTGGAGACAAATGAAACAAGAAACTTCTCAGCAAGGGCTGCTGTGTTCCATCTTGAGGGGTCCCCCTGCTCCCACAAAACCTTCCCTGACCACTAGTCCTGCCTTACTGAACCTTCAGTCCCAGAATTCCTGCAAGAACAGACACAGCCTTAATTACCAGGCTTCTGGTCTCTGGTAACCTTGAATGTGTCGGTCTTCCTTCTCTAGTGACACCATGGGAAAAAACTCTGTGTTTCTCTCTCTCTTTTTAAAAAATCTCTCACAAATTTCAGCAAAAAAACAGGTGCACTTTATAGACAGGCGCTGATGGGGCACCTGGTGGCTCAGCCGATTAAGTGTCTGACTTCAGCTCAGGTCATGATCTCACAGTTCATGGGTTTGAGCCCCATGTGGGCTCTATGCTGACAGCCAGCTCAGAGCCTGGAGCCTGTTTCAGATTCTGTGTCTCCCTCCCTCTCTGACCCTCCCCTGCTCAGGCTGTCTCTCTCTCTCTCTCTCAGAAATAAATAAAACATTAAAAAAAATTTATAGACAGGTGCTGAAGGGGTCCCGAGTGAACCTACAGGGGCTCCTAGCACAGCACCTGATAGGAGTCTACACTGCAATCAAACAGGTCTGAAGCAATAAAATGCACCACAGAGAATCATTTCTACCAAGCGGGTTTCAGAGTTCAGGGCACTCAGGAAACAGTGGAGAATGCCAGCCATTTGGATCAGGCTCCCTGTACCTTTGACAAAACTCAGACATTTCTTTTCTACTTACAGGCCTGAGAAGAAGGTGCTAGACTTCCATCGGTTTAACGGTCAGCTCCTGGGTTCACACCACCTGCCCGGTAGCCTTCCTCTCACCGGGGGCCCAGCACACAGCCCCACGACGCGGCACTGGGCACAGCGGTGCAGGAGTGGATGATGGGGAAAGGTTCCTCCTCGTACCTCCAGACCCAGGGGACACGAGGGTCAAAGGCCACCTCCTGGAGTGACCTAGCTTCATGTCCTCAGGATGTGGCTTATGAGACAGGAGAGGAAAACGCCAACCCTGGAGAAAGGCCTCCGAGAGTCTCAGTGTGGCTGGGGGAAATCAGCCGAACCAGCCGGGCCTGCGGGCTACGCAGGGGGCCAGGGACCCAAGACAAAGAGCACCTGCTGCTGAGGGTGGGGCGAGCGCACGCTGAGCCTTACAGCTGAGCCACCATCCCAGCAAAGGACAGCATAAAACCAGACATAATCTCCAGAAATTTATTGGAAACACGATACAAACTGATTAGTAGATGGCATCTACTTACAGACAGTCCACACTGCAATATCACGCTCTGAATGAATTATCCTGAGGAAACACTCATGACCACTGATGCATGGTCCAGGCTAGTGTCCTCTGGCAGGGAAAATCAGAAACTGGGGACAGAGGCAACGGAAGGGAGGGATGGACAGAAAACTAGGACATGGCTTTCCTGAGGGGAATGGTGGGGTGGGGTTGCTAAATGCGTAAATTCCCCCAAAGGAAAACAGGGACGGCTGTTAAGAATAAAGGTTTGCGCCCCTCCCTTCCACAAGCATTTTCCTCTCTAGGTGAGTGGGAGTCTGCAAAACTCCCACGGGGGCAGCTCCTCTGTCTACCCTCCTCGGGGTCTTAGGATAGCATGAGGACAGAAACATGAGGCTGGACATGACACAGGGCAGACCGAGGCCACGCGCGTCCCAGGCTGCCTGCCCTCAGACCCGCTCCTCGGCCTCCCCCACGCTGCTCTGAGCGGGGCCTGGCCGCTGCGGCGAGCTTGTCCCGGGACCCCAGGTCGGCTGGCTTCCAGCGGGGTTTAACTAACGAGAGGCACCTGAAGAAACCATAGAGCACAAGGAAAGCAGAAGCCGGGCTATTGGTCCCCCACACCTGCCTGGGGAGCAGGGACCTTTAAAACTCCCGTTTTAAATACTCGGAGTGGCTTCTGTTTCCCCGGCTGGACGCTGACTGACGGAAACCGGGCTGTGGGCAAGGTACAGCTGTGAGAGGCGGGCTGAAAACCAGTCTGTCCCCTTACACACCATCTAGGAGGGGGCAGGTGCTGATGGCAGAGTGGGACGGTCGCTTGTGAACTTCTGGGTCCTCATCCAAGGGAACACAGACCAGGCTCGGCACAGCGTCCCCAGGCACCTCCGCGGTGGCCCGTGCAGACAGACCCCGCATGCCCACCCCGCAAGCTCGCCGCACGATGGTGACACTGTGGCCCCAGGAAGGGGGTGGCTGGGAAACCGTGTCAGCAGCGACTGCTCCGAACGGTCAAGGCAAAGGCTAGAGGCTCCTTGGTGTTGTTTCCCTCATTCCCTGGGGGAATTCAGTCAGAATGCTGGGGAACTTCCCAGAGATGAAGTGGGAACAGAAGATCTTCGTCAACATCCTCTTTGTGGGAGGATGGGGCTGTAGAACCAGGAGTTCTTACTACAAGGTGAAGGGCTTTCTTGGTACATGTGGGTCAAAGCAAGCTGCACGTGTCCCATAGCTAAATGTGAGCCAGCTGGGGAGGGTGGGCCTCTCTGTCTCCCTTCAGACCAGGCTTGCCCCCCCTCCCCGGCCCCGTCTACAAATCTCCTGGGCCTGGGTGAGGAGGGACTCTCGAGACAAGCAGAGAGAAGGAAGCTGGCCACAGAGTCACGGGCAGCAGACTTTTCTCTAATCAACAGTCATATTTCACATGGGTCAGGAGAGGTGCGTCAAAGGGCAGGGGAGTCATTGCACCCCCTGTGTCCGTGTGTGACAATAAATCCAGGGCGGGACACAAAGATAGCCTTCCCAAGTCTTTCTTGAGAGAGAACACGCCACGTGGCACGGGAGGCAGAGCGCCCGCGGCCTCTTCTGGGTCTTTTTGGAGGGGGCTTCTCGGTAGGGAACCCTGAGGGCGATGCCTGTCCCCTCCGCCCTGCTCCCTGGACACCCCTGACCCAGGCCCTCTGTTGGGGCCCCAAGCCAAGACCCAGAACAGCTCCAAGAGTCGGCAGTGGTGAGAACATCCCCAGGTCACCCTTGCAAAAGCCAAAGATGAGAAGCGACTCCTTAGGAGGGAAGCCACACTGGCTGCAAAACTGGAAGGAAAAGGCAGCTCGATCTCTCAGCGTTGCCTTCAGCCATCATCCACCACGTTCTCTCTGCTGAGCTGAACCCAGCCTCTGGGGATCTGGATGTCTAGAGTGCCGTCATTTTAGTGATACTGCAGTCGGCTTGGGGTGGGGGGGTGGGGGGCAGGGAGTGCCAGCTCAATGGTAGTCATTCTGTCCTGCAACCACCTGGCTGTCTGGCCGCTCATTCAGCCACAGACCCCAGGGACAGCTGGAAGGCCAGACTGCAGTTTTCCTTCACGGTGCTGTGAGCCTGTGCCCTGCAGCCCGTCCCTGCAATGGACGACAGGGGAGTGGCCAGACTCACGTGGGCACTGGGTTTTTCCTGTTCCTGCCGCTGTGTGCACCAAGCCGCGGAATGGCCAGCCTGGCGTGCCAGCGAGGGCTGCTGTGAGGGCAGGCAGGAAGAGCCCCAGCCAGGGGAACCGGGTCACAGGCACATGTTCCCGGGCCTAGGCACGTGTGATCTCAGAAATGTCTGGGCCGGAAAGGTGGGGGGCTCGTGGTGTCATATGTACATACATACTCACCTGCACACACAGATCTCTGACTTCACCCTCAGAGGCCAGACAGATTCCGTCTGCTTAAAACAAACCTGGGTGATTTGTGGCTCGTGGAAGGAGCAGCCTGGCTGTAAGTCCTCGGCGGCTGGCTGGGCTGTAAGGGAACAGGGCACTACACGAATGGCTTGTCACAGTGATATACACGCTCGGCTCCGTTTTAACACCTGCTCTTGCTGGAGCTGAGACCAGGGAGAACGGAGCAGAACACCAGCCTCTATCCAACAATAAAATACACATGACGTGAAGAGTTCACAGGCTTACCAAGGACGATTTTCTTATTTTTTGTCAGAATCTCATAATTCTGTACCTAGGAAGGGTGGAGGAGGGGGAGCCGAATATAGGATGCAGAGGTGGGAGCAAAATTTCCCCGTTAAAAAAAAATAGAGATGAAGCCTATTGAGAGAAAGCCAGGTGACAGTAATGGCAAGGACGGGGGAGGGATATCATGAACTGAATAAATACTGGCACATTTCTTAAGAAAAATCCACTCAGAAAGATGCCGTGTCCCTCCTGGTCGCCATCGTGGCGCCTACGACAGGGCTGAGCGGACACATGCAGGGCGGCAGCAGCTCTGAGCTCTCAGCAGCCCCACTGCCCCAGGAGCCGCTGGGCCTGGGAGCGGAGGGCTGGCAAAGGAGGAGGCGGAGGGGCTCCCTCGTCCCCTCAATTTTCAGGCAGGTCCCGCCGCAGGACAGTGAGGTCTCTGAGAGGAGCGAGGTGACGCTGATTCACACAATGGAGATGCAGCTCTGGGGACGTGCACTCCCATAGTTTCTTCCCCTGCCCCACCGAGTCTCGAGGGGGCACATGTCTCTCACTGAAATGTTCTGGAAATGGGGGCTGCCTCCTTCCCAGGCACGACTGTGAACATCAGCAGGACAGTGTAGCGAGTCTTGGCTTATAGGATGAAACAGGGATGGCTCAGTCCGACACGCAGCATGTGAATTCTGGGGAAGGAGAGAGACAGGGTCAAAGTCAAAAAGAGTTCTGATGGAGGAGGCCGGGCGAGAGCAAGGACAGAATCAGCTTTCCCACCAACAACATCACAAACTTCAAGGAAAGGTGGCCTGGCATTAATTCAAATAAAAGCTCTCAGGATAGTTTAAGGCTGGACCAAAGGAAAGTCTACCTGCGGCCAAGAAAATATGTGAATGACACTGAAGTATCTTAAAAGCTGGGTTCTGGATGGGTGGGTTTGGTGGTCACTGCCAAGGCGTACAGCATGCCAGGCAAGTGCTGATGGGCTTATCAAACCTACATCGCGGAACGTCTCTGTGCAGACACTAAGGAATGGGGAGCACAACCAGCCTGGAGGAGACAGCGTGGTCTGAAGTCACCATAATTCATTACGGTGACATGGGCACTCAGAGGCTAGGAACACATTTTCCTACAGGAGGTGAGTGAACCTCAAACACCCACAGTGTCATAGCGGCCCCTCTTTCCCACCCCCTCTGCTTCCCCGCAAAACCTTCAACTCTCCTTCCCAGAGCCCGTTATCTAGGGACTCAACAGAAACAAGTAGACGAAAAGCAGAAGTGGCCTGCAAACCACACCATCATCATCTGGTGTTACTGACAAGGTTGTGAAACCTTTCACTTGGTTATCAGGAAAGTGGCTGGGAGGGCAATGGGGGGCGTTTGCTGAGATGGGCCAGGTGCCCCCGCCAAGGGAGTGCTCAGACATGCTCTCCCGTCACACGCCACTCTGCAACCAGGGGAGGACGCAGGGACGCTCACCTTCACAGCCTCCCGCCATCCTGAGGAAGGTCTGCAGGATGGAGCAGAGCTGCGCCTTCACTTCAGGAGCCTGTCTAGAATAGGGGAGATATAGGTACACAGCCTGGTAGTTGATAGGGCTTGGCAAATATGAGTTAAATAAAAACCCAGATAATTCTGTTTAGGACTCAGGCAAACGTTCACTTTATGGAACTTACTATGGGATATATAACTGCATTATTTAACTTTCATCAGAACCTTGTGAGCATCAGAAAGGGTAGGAATTTGCTCGAGGTCATATAGTGAGTAAGTTGAGGATTAGAACCCAGATCTTCTTAATTCAGGTCAAGATTTCCCAACTACACCAGGTCACCCCATTCTCCATCCATCCCAGTAAGAGCATACTGTCCTCTTCAGTGTCTAAGTGAAGGGTTATGTATGTGTCAGAACCTCTGGTATTTCTTAGAAAGCTGTCTGTCTGTCTGTCTCTTTTCCAGGAGGTAAAGGGGGGGATAGTCTGTCATTCATTTTTTGTCCAATCCCTGTGGAATGAAGCCATCTGCAAGAAGAGCCACCTGTAAGAGTTTCCCAAGTTTTTGATCTGCCTTGGTGAACTACGCTTTCTTTGATCTGTGCTAAACTTACCTGCTTCAGTTTCAAAAGCAACCCTCTGGCATCCAGGTTCACACCTGCCTTCTTCACACTGGCTGTGGTTTAAAGTTGAGATATGTCACCTCTCTGCATTCCTGGCTGAAGAATTCCAGTGCTTACCATCTGCCCTTGCAAGGCTATCACGTCACTGCCCCGTACTCAGAGCTTCCTCAGCCCCACTGCATTTCCATGAAGCAAGGAACAGTCACATGCAGGGCGCTGATACAGAGGCCCCAGCACTGCACAGAGCTCCAGGACAAGATGGACACCCCTTCTCAGATCTTCTTCCTAGATGACATAGCCTGAATCATTTCCCCTTTTTGCTTATAAATACATCCTCAAAAGTATTAATCTATATTTGCGACTTCTTTCTATACTAACCCAGATTCATAAGCATTTGGTTTTTACAAACATTACAAACTCTCGGTTTAAACTATTCAGAAGTACTTCATGTCCATGGACTTGGAGAGTCTACACTCTAACCAATGCAATGGAAGCAATTTTCTTGAAGGTTTCCAGCTGCTGGATTCTGAGCTCATTTCCATCCCTTCTGTAACCCAGAGGAGAAGCCACCATCAGAATTTTGGGCGCTGGAAAGCAGATATACGAGTGATAACAGACTATGCACTCAAGAAAGCCAAACCTAAAGCTGGCAGTGTGGAAAGCCAAGAACCCAATTTGTCCAAAGGGCCCTCAAGTGGCTCAGGAATTAACACTAGAGACCTCTGGCAGTGGGGGAGGGAGGCTGAAGCACGGAGATTAGTTGAAGGCTGTTTGAGAAGCAGCTGGACCCCGAGAAGCCCTCCGGACTCCATACCCCTAGGCAACTGCCTGCCTCCCACAAGTCTGAGTGTGTATCCTCTGAAGAGAACCCGACAGAGGGTCTCAGTCCTAGGGGACACCAGGCAACAAGCACAGCTGAGGGCAAGGCTGGCTACTCCAAAACTGAGGAAGCAAGTGAACATATGCCTACCGGTGGTGAGCCCTCCAGTCTTCTTCCCATTTAGCTCCCAGAAAGCATGCAGCTAAACCATAAACTTTGGGGGAAGAGATTGTTTCGTGGTATGGCATTTGTGTCCCCAGAAAATTCCTGTCTTGAAACCCTAATGCCCAATGTGATGGTATTGCGAGGGGTAACCTTCAGGAAGTGCTTCGAGGGTATAATCCTCCTGGGTGGGATTAATGCTCTTATAAAAGAGACCCCACAGAGCTCCCTAGCTGCTTCCGCCATGTGGGGACACAGAGAGAAGTCAGCAGTCTGATAGCTAGGAGAGGGCTTTCACCAGAATTCAACCATCCCAGCATCCTGATCTTGGACTTCCCAGCCTCTAGAGCTGTGAGAAATAAGTTTATGTTGTTTACAAGTGATTCGTCTGCAGGGTTTTGTTATAGCAGCTGAAATGGACTAAGATAGATGGGAAGAATCTTCTCTGGGAAATGTGACCAGTCTATGAGAACAGACCTGGAGATAGTGGCATTTGGGTCACTGAGCAAACAGCCCAGCCTGATCACCATACTGGGAAGTGTACTACAGGCTCCCCCCCACAAGCAGAACACAGGGCATTCAATCTGATTTTAGTCCCCTACTCTTCAACATTAGTAGACAACCACAGGTCGCCAGGGGAAAACCTCCAACATAAATGTCAGAGACGAAAACAAAGAACAGAGAATTAAAATGGGAAGAAATAGACTGTTCGGGGAGAACAAAACTTAAAAAACAGGAAATGCTATCATTAATATTCTCAGAGGAGTAAAAAAAGATACAGTATCCATGAAACACAATCAGTATGCTATTTTAAAAAAACAAAAAAGCAAAACCTGAGAGAACCAACGGTAGTTGGGAGGGAACCTATAGAAAGATTGAAGAGTTCTGCATTCTGTAATGGTGGGCTAATTTATACTGGACTAACCCTCCAGCCAATAACGGTAACAAACTTTGGATAAAATATGAAAAGACAACTGCCTGAAGATTCTGGAGAGCAACCACGGATCAGGCAAAAACTGGAGAGGATATGATCCTTGAAAAAAAAAAGTGAGATTAAGTGAGATCCACACATAACTGGCTTTTCCTTTGTGGGCACTTTTTGTGGTACAAAAGAAAAATGGCTCAAGCAGAAAACTACAGTCTAAGTGGACCGAGGAATCAGGGAGAGTCCAGAGTTTGAGGCCACCAATACAGCTGGCAATATAGGAGATCCTGGACAGGAAGAGGACAGAGAAAGGGAAGCTGCCATATCAACATACAAATCCCCCTCAAATCATTGGCGGATTCTGGAACTATGCAATTGTGAGGTGGGACTCCACGGAGCCCAGATGGAAACACCAGCTGGAAAGCTAACAAAGGCTGAGCAGCAATCTCAGCAGCTGTCTAGTATTGGGAAGACAGAGTCTGGAGTTCAAGTTTTGCCAAGTTGGAAGGGCTGGGCAAACAACTTGGTCTTTCCATTGAAATCTCATGGAACTAAGAACAAAACTGAAATAGATCAGACCTATTAAGCTTTAAACCAAGTATGCATAGAATCAAAGTGACCTGCCAATTTAAATGCGTGCTAGAACAAAAGTCAACACCCTGCAGAAGAAAATAATGGAATCCAAAGTCTCTAAAACTTATCATCCACCCCGACCAGTATTCGTTAAAAATTAATGGACTGATAAACCCATTGAAAGAAAATACAGTTAGTAAAAAATGACTAATGAATGATTCAGATGTTAGAATTAGCAGATATCGATATAAAATATTCACTATAGGGGCACCTGGGTGGCTCAGTCAGTTAAGTGTCTGACTCTGGACTTCAGCTCAGTTCATGATCTCACAGTTTGAGAACTTGAACCCTGCGTGGGCTCTGAGCTGACAGGGAGGAGCTTGCTTGGGATCCTCTCTCCCTCCCTCTCTGCCCTTGCCCTGCTCACTCTTTCTCTCAAAAATCAAACAAACAAACAAAAACCCCAACAACAACAACAACCTTAAAAAACACATAAAGAATAGATGATTGTTGGGACACTTGAGTGGCACAGTTGGTTAAGTGTCCAACTTCCACTCAGGTCATGATCTCATGGTTCATGAGTTCGAGCCGCACATCAGGCTCTGTGCTGACAGTTCACAGCCTGGGGCCTGCTTCAGATTCTGTGTCTCCCTCTCTCTTCCTCCCTGCCCCCACTCACGTTCTTTCTCTCTCTCTCAAAAAAAAAAAAAAATTAAAAATTTTAATAGAGAATTGTTTAAAAAAATAAAAAATAAAATATTCTTTATTAATTTGTTAAAGAATCTATAGGGGCACCTGGGTGGCTTGGTTGGTTAAGTGTCTGGCTCTCAGTTTCGGCTCAGGTCATAATCTCATGGTTCATGGGTTTGTGCCTTTTGCTGGGCTCTGTGCTGATAGCGTGGAGCCTGCTTGGGATTCTCTCTCTCCCTCTCTGTCTCCTACATGTGTGCATGTGCTCTCTCTCTCAAAATAATAAACTTTAACCAAAAACAAAGAAAAAAAGAATCTTTAAAAAAAGATGAATGTGATGGGTAACAAGATGATGTATTTTGGGAGAAATATTTGGAAACTAAAAGGAAATTCTAAAACTGAAAAATA